AAAGAGAGAGAATGTAAAATTCCTTTAACCCAAATATTCAAGGTGGATTAAAGCTAAGCCATTAATCTTAGTGACCTAGAGCGAACCTTCAAGTAATTGGGCTATGTATAAGGTATAGAAGTAACGATTCACATTTTGAGACCCTAAAATGTCATATATTAAGAGCACTGAATAACTCAAACTTTTTTGAGCATAAAAAATGAGATGCGCAAGATTAAAGAAAAATTTCCAATTGAAAAAATTAAGTATCCGGTTAAGCCAAAATAGCGTGCGTTCACTAGTATGGCTTTATAAAAATAGAATAATTTATTTTACGTATTTATAAGATTTAGCCTAAACCTTAAACCTAACGGCTTAAAACTAGTCGGTAAGTAGGTATTTAAGAAAAGGCGAAGTACCTATAAATATATTTCAACAGTTTCGTTAATTACTGTAAAATCACTTGTAACAGATAATGTGTTTGTAATAAGTATAAAAGGTAAGTATTTTATATAGCTTAAAACATTTAATTTATCCAATATTATAAGTTAACTTTAATTCTTAAGTTTTATTTTTACATATATTTATTTTAGTTTCGAAAAGACGCTTGACGTAACACCCGGCCACCTGACAGGATCATGATCCGTCCTTGCCCTCTACATTCCGACGAATCGTCCTAGAACGCTTCTGCGGTGACATGTGGCTCTTGGTGAATGAGGACGACATCGTTGGACTGAGGTTCGCTTCGGATTGCAGCATTTTTTTTGCGCTCCTAAGGTTCGTAGCTTAGGTTACTTACCATTGTCAACCAAGACTATTGCTTGATAGCAAACAAGTTGCCATCTCTGGCAGCATCGGAATTGGGTCCGTTGCACTTGTGCTGTGGTATGCTGGAGGAGCACCCTATGAGTAAGGTGGCTAGATTACGCTCGCCAATCGTTGGAGTCCTGGCTTCAATGGTGCGAGGGGGCGAATTGGAGATGACACTTTTGGCCATGCAGTCTTCCCCAGCTCTTCGGCTGTGAGCAGCACGTTGCCCATTGCGCGCATTGCGAAAGTGTTTAGCGGAACTTCACTGCCGCCTCCCCATAAATCCGCGAATCGGCGTCCTGCGGTGCTATAGAAGAACAAATTTTTGAACCTTTCTTGGGCGGCGAATCCATTACTTTCTGTAGCCTGTAACAGAGCGCTCCTTGAGTTTCGCGCAGCTTGCGGTTGGGCGCGACGAATTTCGTTGGATAAAGGAATTATCGATAAGTCAGAACTAAATTCATTACTGCTTTTGTAATGAAGTTAAACAAAAACTGCAGTCACCGATTATCCCTCGTGCGAGTAGACATTTTTTTTTTCTTTCGCTGTCCTCTTTTCCCCTGGGCCGAAAGTACGGTCTTGAACTGAGCTATTCTGGTAACTTTCTAGTACAAAAAAAAACAAAAAAATTATATAATATATAAAGTAATTACAAACTTATACTTGGCCATAAAGAAACAAATGGCCCCGCCCCCAATCTGGGGATAATGAGATTTGACTTGTTATGGCGCTAACCCCAACCAAAAGGGAAAAAATAAAAAACAATAGAGCTTTTCCTAATCTCCCAGAAATAGAAAGGAAAACTCTAAATGAAAAGAAACATAAAGCACACGAACTACGCGACGGAAGTCTTTGCTATTACTAAAAGACAAAGAAAACTGAATTATATTAAAGGCACAATATATGCTCCATACCTAAATCGACCTAAGAGAAGAGGAAATCATTAATAACCTATCATCATGAGTTGTTGAATTGTACACAATTCCAAAAACATAAAGGAAAACCAAAACATACCGGATCCGTCATTTTACTTTTGACTAAGTACCAACTTTCTAACCACAAGATGTCACATGGCATTCCCGTAAGGTTAACCATTTTCCAAAACCCTATGCGGTTCAAAACAGCGGGAAAATAAATCACACCGCAAAACGCCGTACACAACCCAAAAAATGTAGCGATTCGCTGCACACCATGCCCTAACCTGAATATGACACAAGTAATGTTAAACTGCGGAGTGCACCCATCTTGATAAATTTGTCCCAAAATTTTGCAATCTAAAGAGATATTAAAATTCGCAGTAAAAACAAATGTACAATTAGAGAGAAGCGATAAACATAAATAAAAATCAATGCCCATCTATTGTTGGTGGTCCTTCTATTCATCTATTATCAAAAGCCCAACATATATAACACCTAAAAATATATTCCAAAGCAAACACAAAAGAATAAGCCGGAAACCCCAAGTTTGGAGTATACTTCTGATCAACAAAAAATTAGTATCTCGAACATCACCTCCTTACCACAAATCCCAAAAATTGGATAACGAACTATACGAATTTTATCACAACGAATAATCGCTAAATTACAACATACCTTCTACCGCGCAAGAAAAAATGAAATTCCCTCCCAAACAACAAAATCCAACTCGAAAAACAATAATATTCTTATAGATTTGCCTACAATGACAACCTGCAACATTCAGCAATCGAAAACACCTACAAGTAAATTTAACCCAAACGATTCAAAATCTTCTTTTCACCAGTCCTTTTCCTACTCCAACAACAAAACTTCAATTATCAAATAGAAAATTAGTCCCCACAATACTAATCATATATACACATATAAAACATAATACTCCTACACGATCTTAACTTCTTAATGATTTCATTTGCAATGGAATATCCCATACGGATATTTTCAATAATTTTCACAAATGCAGCTACTAATAAAGACCTGAAACCTTCATGTTATGTTTACAAGAAACACATATACGCCATACTCGAATCATAAACTCCATCTAGCTATATAATGGTTTTTTTTTACGAATAACCCTCAATATCAATAACAGCAAACAAGGTGTGCAATTTTGGTAAAGAAACATACTAATATACCTGTTATTTTCCAATAACAGCTTTACTCACTAAGGCGATGAGATATTATCTAATCCAAAACTAACAGTAAATCAATACCTACATCCCTCCCAAATAAAGTTTCTCTAGATATCTTAAATACATTAAAATAAAACGCGAAAGCCAGGCAAAAAACGATCTGTTAATTTTGTTTGAATTTTATTTCCTTTACAAGGCAGCCGGTCTCAGCGGAGAGTTATTACAACTGATTTAACACAAAGGCGACGCTAGCGTCTAAATATCCTACATGCTTGCTAACTTTAGTTGCTGCACGTTATTTGCCGCGTGAACCAATCCGCTTATTGTCTTGTATTTGGTTTATTGTTGTCACGCGCAAGACTATAAGTGTTCGATCAGCAATATGGCCGGAAGCGTTATTATTGCAGTACTGAACTTTTCTTTGGTGTTTGTGCAAACTGTAGACGCGCCGTCAGCAGATTACGTTGAAGCGATATTTGATTACGTTGAAGTGATATTTTGGCCGATTACCCGTGTTAACTACTCCCCCTCTTGAAGTGAAAGCGTCCTCGGTTTCTTTTATGACATTCTTCAGTACTACCATATTTTTTTGTCGTCTCCTCAGAAGTATTGCTATGCCCATAGCTATGGCTAATACGATTAGGAGCAAGGCGCTTCCTGATTGTATGGAGCGGGTCTCAATAAGATTCCGTAGGAGAGCTATGTGCTTGAGATTTTTTAAATTAATTTTTTGTAGGTGTGGAAGTGATAATAGCTCAATATGTTCGGTGAAGTTAACGTGCTGCGCGGGTACCGCCTCGGGATGTGAACGCATTACCTCATTCCAGTTGCTATAAACAGTGGAGTTTATCATAATATCACATTTGAATGTTATCAAAAAGGTTCCTCTAGCTAATCTTGTCAAATTTTCGGTTTGTATTATAGCGGGCTGGTCATTAATTAGAATTACGCCGTCATCGATCTCCTCAATGGCGGGCACGTGATCGGTGGATTTGGATTTGCAATTTGCGTAGCGCTGGTTCAGTAGTTCTCGTACACAGGGACTTTCTTTCAAGGGCTGGCAGAAGTTTGCTATTATGGCTTCTTTGCAATTATAAAGTGGGATGTATTCTCCGCTGCATTTAGCCATAAGATTCGTTTCCAAGGAAATAATCTTTCCTTCCTGGATCACGGGCAGCAACTTTACATTATTACAAATTCTAGCTATTTTTGGGTATTTAATAATGAAATAAATAAACTGTGTATTTTGAAATATCTTAAATTTAGAAACAGAAAGTATGTCAGTTATACTAGTATTTGTAGAGAGCTCAGCAGCTAATATATTACTTATTTCCAAGCCATTAAGCAGAATGGGGTTAATAATATTTACTTTTGCTAAAGCTAAGAAAAGAGATTTCCCGTGTCGATCTGCGTCCGTTTTGCCTGTGTTAAAAGTTTATTAACCGTCACCGTCAGCTCGTTAATTTGCCTCTGGGTAGCTAGATTAATCATTGACTGTTGTTCATTTGCTTCTATTAGGGCTTCGGCTCTGGTCTCAATTGTCTGAAAGTCGTCAAAGTCCGGAGTGCCGGTTATGTATTTTAATGCAGTCCCTAAGATATTAATACCTCGCGCATGTCGGTGATGTATCTTGACCGCGTCGAGTAGTTTTAATATTTCGTCAGCGTCGTTTCGGAGAAGTTGCCTGGCATGGGAAAGTGGGAATTGTTCTAATATCGTGTCCGTCTCTTCGGCTATCGCCTCGAATTCTGACAAGTTTGTCTTGTGGAGTAAAAACTCATAATGCTCGTGGACGATTACTTTTCCTGTTACTATCGGGATGTAATGAGAGCTGGTATAGTTAAATATCCCTGCGTTAGCCCAATGGTTCATTATCAAGAGCAGAGTTACCCTAAGGAAGAAGGAGACATTTCAGTGTTTTAAATTGATTTTGTGAACTTTACGTCCATCGATTAAAACATAGGTGCCCAAATCGCTCTGGACTATTTTTTCGGTGTAAAGTTTAGTGAATTTATTTCCTATTCTCTTATTGGTCTTTACAAAAACCCTTTCCCCTGGTTTATATTGTCTTGTTTGTCTTTTTATGTTGTGCCTTTTTAAGTCAATTTGTTGGGTACATATAAGTCTGTTCTTTATTTCATTAACTAGTTCGTCCGGAATTGCGTGGATGATGTCTATAGGTTTTCTGTTTGTCACGGAATGAATTGTGCGGTTGTACTTAGCCGTTGCTAGCAGAATTAATTCGGCCGTGTCGGAAATGCAAGTCTCGAGCCTCTGGCAGCGTGCAATTTCCGTAAGTGTACTGTGAAACCTTTCCACCTGGCCGTTAGTCGTACTGTGAGCCGGTGGTGTGGTGTAGATCGTGACACCGAAGTGGTTTTTTAGGATCGCTTTAATAGTTTCAGAATTCAGTGACCTCTCGTTATCACAAACCAGAACTTTAGTGTTTTTGTAAAAGTTGAGGAGTTCATAGATTGGTTCCTTAATATCTACTATGGCTCTAGATTTTATTGGAAAAACTATTGCAAATTTAGAGAATTTATCTAGTTGTCTGTTGAATAAATGTCCACGTGAAGATTTCTCCTGGGTACGAAGGTATGGGAGTTGATCCTATTTCTGGGTTTGGGGGATGTCGTTGGTATTTTGTTTCATGACATATTTGGCAGTTTGAAACTATTTCCTTTAGCACTTTTCTTAAGTCAGGAAAGTAGTAATTTTCTAGGATCTGCTGTTCATTTTCGCGACAAGATCTATGTGCACGATTATACTCGATTTGGAGGATTTCTTTCTTTCTTTGGTCTTTGTTATTAAAAACATCGATAACCTGTTTTGTAGTGTGGCGGAACTTTACCCCTGGAAAAGATGTGGCAAGGTCGTCTTTGATTAGTGCCAAAGTAGGGAGTTCGCATAGCAACCCGTTAACGACGTTCGGATTAACACACTGTTTCATGGATTTCAGTAAATCCTGTAGGTTATTAAAAGATATTTGATGCCTCACTTGTGTCCTAAATAGGATTGACGTGTTAACCGGCAATTTGGCACCCTCTTCCAGAATAATCTGAGTTTTAAAACAATTAATGGGTTTTTTTACTGTAAGTATTGCTTGAGTAAGTGATAACTCGCTATTGGTGGCCATACTTTCTGTGTCTACCTCGTGATTCAATGCATTTATGTGTTGCCGGGAGAGTGCATCAGCCACAAAGTTTTCTTTACCTGGTTTGTAGTGAAACTTTGGTGCGTACTCCTCGACAAAAGCGCGCCATCTTTTCATCTTTGCATTTGGGTTTTTATCAGATAAAGCGAAGGTGAGTGGCTGGTGATCTGTATAAATGTTTAAGTGTTTGACGCCGTACAAATAGTTACGCAGTTTTTGTAGGGCCCATACGATCGCCAAGAGCTCTCTTTCGTTGGTCGCGTAGATTTCTTCTGTCGGAGACAGAGTTCTCGAGATCATGGTGATAGGTCTGCCATTTTGTGACAAAACGGCACCTATGGCATGTGAAGAGGCGTCCATTGTCAAGTCAAAAGGTTGTTTGTAGTCAGGGTAAAGGAGCAGTACGTCTTCTGATGCAAGAATTTTCTTAACTTTACCAAACGCGTTAAGTGCTTCCTCGTCTAGAGTTATTTCTATTTACCGAGATTGGTTAGCACTGATGTTACCATTTTCTCCACGTAGGTATTTCGTTAGGGGTTTCGTAATCGCAGCATA